AACTGATTTAAAAGTTGTTACAAGAATAAATTTGATTTTGAAGAGTTGTCCAACAAACCAGAGATACACTAATGCCATGCTATGACAGTCCTGGTTACGAATCACAGTAACATCACTTTATACGTTTCAGGAGAACTTCAACGTTTTATAACCTAAACATAAAGCTGCCACTAGTATAGAGACCGTACAATTAGACAAATAAACAAGTATTTTGCACAAGGCCTGAGTTCACTATAACACATTAAAGCAGTTTCGATTTACAACTTCATCTCAAAAAACTGTACAGCAGCTTGAACCGTTTCAGAGAACTTAAAGACAAGGCGGCTTCCGGGGCTTATTGGTTCTGCTGATGTAAGTGAGAGGCCTGGGGCTCGAGGGGATTTGGTGCACGAATCCGAAGCTTTAGTGCCTTGGGTAATTCCTCGGACAGCAGTCAAAACCTCGTGGGAGGATACAGCCAAGGCAGGACCTCACTTGAGAATTAGCTTACGCTTCTCAAATTCTCCACATTGGTTTCCTCACAAATATTTCAGAGTAAAAGTTCACAACGAGTATATAAAAGGCAGCATAACTCTTATTTTAGCAAAGACCAAAAAAGGGCTGCATATGCAACGCAACCTTGCTGTCCTTCTCCATCACTTCTGTCACTTGAAATGGCACAAAGCAGTGATACCCCTACACTTCCCCCCCCGCCCAAATACAAAACTCCTAGTTAACGAACAAAGGTCATTCTAAAGTCCAAAATTTTCATCTGCAATGAGAGATCCACTGTTCATTTTTTTTTTTTAAAAAAAACCTTCCTTTTCTGTTCAACTCATGCAGATATGGATGCACGAAGCATATAAATTTGTAATACTTAACAAAAGGATCACATAAACCATTTTGTGTATGGAAGTCCTGTAAAACTGGACTCAGGTTTAACTTCTCATTTAGTTTTTGCTCTCCCGACACAGCGTAACTGAATCAAGTATTACCCTGTAATCTAAACATGCACTTACCTTCCTAGTTGCTGACATACACGCAACTGAGGCTACAGTACAAAAATTAGTACACTTTTTTCTTGCTTTAAAGGCTAGTGGGGTATTTGTGAAACAAGTGGAAAAGTTGTTATTAGCAATACAAAATTTAACAGAAAAAGAAATGTTTTAAATGATAAGGCTGGAAAAGTTGCACACCTCTACATCAAAAATTCTGCTGTTCATTTGGGGTACTCAACATTTGGGCAGCCCTATAAGGCCACAGCACTCCTACGAGGCATCTCTTTTTGTTTCACATTGCAGCTGAGGGAGAAAGATACAGGATATCCATTTACAAAAACTAGTGAATCCTATCCAATTTCCCCATAAAATTTGTCCCCTCAGCTTCCCCCCCTCCTCTATAATTGAGGGACTCCCTTACCTTTCCAAAGGCTCCTCTGGTGCTGCTGTCCTCCTAAATAAGCAGGTTATCTTTGGACTTTTCCATAGGCTGCTCTGTACTTTATTCACAGGACGTGTGCGAAAAGGAATGGAAAAACCTGCTCCCTCGTCCTTCCTCGGAATGACACTTGCCATTTCACTCCTTCCTTCTCTCCCCTGAGGAGCCCGGGGCTCCTAAGCTAATCAGCAAGTCAGTCGTTTCCAAGGTCCTCTCAGTCAGCCCTGTCAGAGGAGGTTTTTCAAGCCTCTTTAATACAAGTCAATCCATTCAGAGGATTAGTGGGTTTGCTAAAATTAGTTTTTTTAAAAAAAGCTTCAGAGACTTTCATACTTAAAGAAAAAAAAACCCACTGAATTAACAATTTTAACGTGGAAAAGTCTACTGGGTTAGTATAAAAGCATTCACTTAGGTTACACACCAGGATAGCCAAAGGACAACTAACGTTTATGCTTAGGATGTGCAGCTATTTTCATCTCTCTCCTTTGCACGTCTCGTTTTGTGGTACGCACTGCTAAATTAGTTAAAAAAAAAAAAAAAAAAAAAAGGGAACTGATCCCCCTCCTCCTTTTTATCCACCCTTTACAAACAAACACCAGGCAAAGCAAGCGGGCTGCGGTTGGGCCCCCAGCTGCTCTCCCATCTACAGCGCTAACGAGGATCAGCTCAAGATGATACTGGTGCCCAGCGTGGAGCGGCTGTAACATCATGAGACAACCTGACAGGCTTCCACGTCTTTCTTCTAAACATAATTGAATTAAAAATAAAAAAGGCAGAGATTTGGTATAATTTATGATCTCATTCAGGGCACTATAATATTTACATTAAGGTACTTTTTTCAGGGAAAGAATTTACAATTTTGCGGACTGGATAATAACTTCCCACACATGTTCTCCATTCTGTATTGCATTAGGGCTAAACAAGCCCCTCTGCTTCAGCATTCAGCAAGGAAAAAGATAAAAATCAAATAATAGAAAGAGCATGGTCAGTAAGGCTGCTTCCCATCCAAGTCCAGGCACAGAGGGCCCTCTGGAATGTCCCTACTCTATAATATCGTCTCTTGCTCCCATTCATTCCCCACCTCCCACTGGATTTGAAGTACAGCCCTTGCTCTCCTACACTGCAGTTCACTCTGGCCACAACGCAAATCTTCCAGGCTCTTGCAGAACCTCAAAACGACAATTTGCAAGTGGAGAGATCAACTGGACCAGGTTTCCTAAGGAAAAGCTATTGCAGCAGGAGCCCAGAGGCAGGCGGCCTTGGTGAGTTACCTCTTGCAACTTCTTTTCCCTTTAAGTTAAGCAGAAATAATTCAATTCACACACCTACAGTTTCCTGACTGCCTAAGCACGGAGTACCTACAAGGAAAATGGATTTGGCCCTTTGATTTCAACCGAAATCTTTTTCAAATTTTATTTTCAGATAACTGGAAAAAAACCCATAACATTTCCATGAGTGCCCTTTTCAATTTTCTGATGTTATTCTTCTACTGTGGCCATTCTGAATCAAAATCATGTTCTGAAATACAAAATACAAAACATTTTCATATTACTTGAGACAGATAAAAGATCCTACTCTAACACATTGCCACTCACAGAAGAGTCCCTCTGCATTTGAGCCTGCATCGTATACCTTGTATTCTCAAATAGCCCATGCCAAACGGGCATACCCCCAAAACGCATCATTTAAGAGGTCTAGGATATAAAATGGGATAAAAATTTTGTAGTTAACTGTTGTTCCCTCCAATTAGTTGCACCCAAATCCAACTCTGAATATTCACAGTCCAGATCGGGGAATTGGAGTTTAATCCTGCTTTTACTACAGATATATTAATATAATGCACAGTCAAGTCCTAAGATGTGTTATTTTAATATACCCTTAGTTTTCCAAATAAGGTAGAGGAATACAGATTCAAGTAATTGTTCAAAGTTTTGCCTTACATTACCTTAAAAAGTGTAGCTTTCAAAAACTGACATTAAAAAAAGACTTTGTGTGATTCAGAGTGTAAAGTACCAGTAACTGTAGATCTAAATTTAAATAATATTTTAACAGTTCTAATATTGTATTTAAGTTACATGGGTATCTTAACATAACCTACAACATTTACCACGAATACTAAGAACATATAAGCATCACAACGTGTTAGGCATTGTTTTCTAAACCACAATTTCACTGGTCCCAGGTATCTTAAAATAATATGACTAAGGCAGGAGCTATAATACATAAACAATTATTTAAGAAATACACTTAATGCTGAGAATCATGGAAATATAACAAAATACAATTCACATTTACAGCATAAGGCCCTTTGGTTTCTCAAGCAGCAAATGAAAGAACAATTTCTTCAGTGAAAGGCTTTGAAAAATAAAGTAGGTAGGCTTTCCATAAAAAAGGTAACTAGTTCTTTCCTTCTCAAAATAGCCAGCTATAGTCTTCAAAATATTATGTAAGAAAGTTCCTGAAATTCCTAGGAAAGAGAAAGTTAAAACCCAACTGTAATATCTGACAGAGCAGAGATTCTATCATGGGCAAGCTGAACATCTACCTGCTGGGAAGTAGAAGAAACTACTGCTTGGTTTTCTGGAGAGCTTTATTAAATTTGGAGTAATACAATAAAAAGGATTTGAAATATCTGTGTATTTACCACATATTCTACAGCTTACAAATCTGCATTTCAGAACTCACTTCATATTCATCTATCCTTCATAAGGACTTGAGTTAAAACAAAATTAAAAAGTAACAGTTTATTCTAATCAAGGCAATAAATGGCAATCTGCTTTCTCATACAACCGTGTGCAACAATAACTTCTATCAGCCAATCCTTTTCCGTCCTCCCACTGGAATCCAAAAACTACGAAGTAATTCAAAATATTTCTGTGTAATTCAACTAAATTGTAACAAGTTGGGGAGGTCAGCATTGGATCTTTTCAGAGATGTTCCATAACTATCTTTTTTTTTTTTTTTTTCCCCAAACATAATAGCTGGAAGCAATACCAAAATAGCCAAAACACAGAAATACATAATAAATGTGATCAAGTATTCTAAAATCTCATGTAAGCGGCACAGGGGCTGGTAACTATGGTCTGATGTTATAAAACAAGACATAAACCAGTATTGTCTTCTGGAGCAAAGTTCTTCCTCTATCCTAGATTTGTACCACCTTTTAAAATCATTTCTTATGCCTCTTAAGTATTGTGGTAGTCAACTACCACATTAATCCTAATTTCCTCATAGAGAAGAAAGTCAGAATATTTGATTTGCTTAGCCTGCTGTACAGTTGTGGACTAGAGGTATTTCTATGTAACATGGCTAACAAAACATTCGGGTGAAGCACGAGTTTACTTCTCACATACTGTCATAAGGCATAATGACAGTTTGTGCCAAATTCAGGCTACACAAATCATCGAGAGTTGAATTTAGCACACTGAAAAGACTGATCCATAGGATAGCATTAAAATTGTATATACTAGCATTATTACCCCTTAACAATTTTCAATTAAATTAGGAAATAAAACTTCACATAAATGCAGGAGTTGATTGAATACATTTCTGAGTAATTTTGAAACATTTAGCTTATTTTTTTCAGTGAATATATACATCCTACCTCCAATGCTCTGAAGTTGGGTAAAGAGACAGGAAAATTATGACATAGGATGACTTTGCACTTATGCTTTCCACTACATTACCAGGACAATGTAAAAACAGTTTTCTAGTGTGAAATTATTTATTTTGCTGAGTGGAAACTTCCCCCAAGTCATACTTTTCCTACTCAAAAAAAGATGTTAATCAGCTTACCCATGATTCAAATCATACCAACCACCGAAAGAAGAAAATAGGACGTTTTACCCAAAAAGATCTTTCAAGTCATTGCTAGCTGAGCTGCTGTTTGTCATCGTGTTTGCTGGTTGTGCAAAGTTCTGAGGAGAAAAGAAAGGATTACCCTGTATACCAAAGCCAGGCTGTCCCATCATGTTCATCTGAGGTCCCAAGACTGAAGCACTTGCAACTGGGGACCCTTGTGAGGGTACAAACTGATTAACCCATTGGTTTGACTTCTGTTGAGCCAACTGTTTCATACTGACTTTGGGCTTTTGAGGACCAAAAAGATTATCTAAAGCAGACATATCTGGGGGTCTGTTTTGTTGTGCCAGTGGAGAGACTGCAGATGTAGCACTCATGGGACTGTAGTTTGGCATATTGGCAGTTGGTGCAACGTTCATCTTGCTTGTTCCTGTTGTGCTTGGACTACTGAAGAAATTCTGAGTGGTGGGACCAGTTGCCACACCGAACCCGGCAGTCTGAAAACCCATACTAGTATTTAGTCCATTTGTTACATTTCTCTTTGTGCTGTCAACAGTTGGTGAAAATCCCATTCCAACACCCACAGAAGGGACAGAAGAGAAGCTGTTTGAAGATGCAACTTTAGTTTTGTTGATAGATGTCAAAGATGACATATTATCTATCAGGGTATCTGTCAAGTCCTTTGTCTGAAAAATACAATATAGTTAGAAACATTTTCTTTACAGAGACATTAGCAACAATCTTTAGCAACTGCTCCTGCAATTAACATAAAAGTGGCATTGATTTTTAAGAAACTGGAATTTATTGCTTTGAATTAGGCATTTAATGCAATTGTATACAAAAGTAATTACATTATTTTCATTCTTCACTACTTCAGATGTAGTTCATTCTTCACTACTTCAGATGTAGTTTCACTACTAAGACTATACACACCAAGCACAAATGTGCCCATCTGCTTACATGCCTCATCCCTATCCCTCAAAATGATTCTATATTTAATTAGTAAAATCTTCAGAACAAAATGTTTTTATACATGCTTTTTCCACACTTAGAATAACAGTAGTGATCAGCTCTCACCTGCTTCAATGGAGGTGTTATCACAGTCGTCTGTGGCTTTAGAGGCTGCTGGCTTTTCAATTTCTGTGCCTGTTCTTGTTCTTTAGCTAATTTTTGCTTTTCCTCAAGTGTAAGGGATGTCTTTGAAAAGGGAAAGCACTATCAATAAGCTGGACAGTATAAGTATTTATGTTGTTATTTTTATTTAATAAATAGCACTGTCACTTCAACAGTGCGTGGTAATAATAATCATCATTCATATAAAAATAAAGTGGCTAAGCACAAAATCTATTATTATATCTACCATACTGTTAAAAAGCACTTAAGACAAATACAAAATTAAAGGCGACATAATGATAAATTCCGGGCAACAATCAAAAATAGATATTTCATCATAATAAAGCCATTTTAGCTTTGACTTCTTAATGCTGAGCATAAGAAAGTGTTCTGCTTGTTTTGTATGTTGATATGAATATTCACCAACTGGCATTTGATAAAGAAGTACAAGCGCAAATAATTTAATAACCGTGAGAAGGATGTTATAACTGAATATCACCTATAAAGGGTAAGCTATTTCAAGTCATGTCTTTTCTTTGCTTCTTTTATTTATCCCCATACTTACTACTTGTTTTCACTTAACTTTTAATTTTGATAGTAAATCTTATTCCTACTGCTCAAAATTCTACATTTGATCTTCATTTCCTTCTGTAATTTTATAATTAAGTTGCCTGAGCATTTTAATTTTTATAGTTAAATTCACTACTGAAGTTCAGTGCAGCTCATTATACCCAGAACTAGGGAGGAAAAAATGATCACTAATATATAATTCCAACTGATGCATATTTTGCACAAAGCTAATTTCAAGGACATGTTTACATGGAAAATCGAGGCTGTGGTTTAAACATTTTCAGTGCATTTTCACATGTGACTACTCAGATTTGTGCTAGGCAAAAGCAGTTATTTTTTCCTTTAAAGCCTCAAGTATGACAAATATTTACACATATTTTCTTACGCCCATCAGCCTTGTACTAGACAGATGCATATAACAGAACTCCCAAACACAAATCCCACACCTTTTTCTGTTTTGATGATAACTCGTTCTCTTCTCTGTCAGATCCACTAGTTAGAAGGTCAGTTCCAGTATTACCAAATACCTTGTCAATCTGTTTAAATTAAAAGAAACAAAATCATAAGTTTTTTGAAATGTTGTAATTTAAGGTGAGATAAATATTGATTAGAAGACTTTAAAACTTCTAAATGTAACTAATGCAATAAAATATTGTCTCTTACCTGATTATTTGTACTGGTAGATCTTGCCTCTTCAGATACACTCATCTGATTAGCTATATCCAAAGATCTATACAGTACAGAGTATATAGATTACAAAATGACAACTATACAGTCACAATATTAATTCATCAGGACAAATTATTTCTCTGCATATAAACAGTATAAAAATGTTATATCAAAGCAATGCCATATTCAGAATAGCTGTAGGAGAGTGGAAAATATTAATATTCTAACATAGAAAGGTTATCTAACTATCCTTTTAAATAGTTTGACTTAATGCTTTAAGTGGCTAATGTAGACTTCAGAGAGTAAATTAATTTGCCTCAAAGTTAACTTGCCTTCCTCAGCTTGTATCAGCCTCCATAAAACAGGCATAGATATCTTCAAAAACCCTTGCCTAAAGAGCTGCCGTTTTTATGTTTTCTCCTCTTTGGTGTGTGTTCTTAATAACTACACAAAAGGCCTAAAATCAAACTACTGGAACTCAGTATGAACTTTTATGTTTCATTAATTCACTTCAAAATTACCCAGAGTAAATAAATATGCATTTCAATGTAAGTGTAAAGGCCTGGAGGTAATAAAATCACTGATCTCATAATACTGTCATTCTAAGACTCATAAATCTTTGCTGACAATCATGCTTATCTGAGGAAACTGCCAGTTACTGAAGTGAGAAATACCAAGATTTTGTGTGGCTGCAGATAGATTTTTCTCATGTTTACTAAAAAGATTAACTGAAATTCCTCTTACCTCACTTGCTATTTTCCTAGCACACAAGCAAACACTTACTTCTGTTGTTCTTGCATGACATGAAGCTGTTCAAGTTTTGTTTTATGCTCTGCCTCCAGTCTGTTAAGCATATCTTTTATAACACAAATAAAAGAATTGAACTGTAAAAGAAACATAGAGGAAGTCAGGATTTTGCAGTGACAGAATCAAAGCACTTAGAGCTTAATACAGTTTATAATATACAATGTCAGATAAACTGTACATTTAAATAATTTTATATAATCCAGCTTCACTGCCTTGGTTGACATACCCAGCTACAAGTGGCAAGTATAGGCTACTTGAACCAAAAACAAACAAACAAAACAAGCAAACAAAAAAAAACCCCACAATTAACATTCCAAGATTTGTTCTCCAGAAAAATCATATTAGGTATTCTATTTCCTAATTAATTCAGACCAGCATGATTGCACTTCAACACTGTATGTTATATTCACAAACAAAACTAAGAGAAAAAAAAAGATTAAGACTGTAATGTAGCTGCTTATTTGGACTGTAATTCTTCTTCAGCATGGTATTTGGAAGGCAGTATACTCTTATCCCAGAAATTCTTTGTCTCTCATTTGATTTAATCTCATTTGATTTTGTCCCAAATGTTTCGCAGTGTATTTCAAAAGTTGGACCATCCATCCATTTTAAAGGTCCTGCTAACTTTATCACAATCATTTTATTTTCCTTATGTTTCTTCATATTCTACAGCAATATCACCAGATTTAACATTTCAACTCAATAGTAACCTCCACTTAGTAGTGTATAATATGCAAGAAGAAGGGAAAAGATCAAGTCACTTAAAAGTTGTTCTAATTTCCTGTATTTTTAGCCTCACAATTTGATACATTTAATTACTTCTTGAAGGCTAAGTCGCTGCCTTAGTGTTGACAGATGCAGTCAAATTTGCCCTAAAATCTCAGAACCAACTCCGCAATTCTGACCTAAGGACTCAAAACAGCTACCACCATAACACAAGTCTGTTAGGTGATGCATTTCTTCATTTAAAAAACACATTTCAGTTTAAAGGATTAACTTCTTTTTTTTTAAGTCTTTACTAGTGAAAATGTTAGCAATACAGCTTCAAAATTTTCAAAGATTTAAAAAATGGAAAAAGTACAAAAGTACAAAAGTGTAGAAATACAAAAGCCAGATAGACAACTGATGCTACTTTAGAACTACAATGGTATTCATCAGTTAAATCCACTAAATAAACAATTTTTCACAGCAGACACAGATATACAGAAACCTACAAGTTCTTCTGTGACAATGGTTTAAGCTAACTCTCTACCAGTTTATCAATTAAAAGCATGCAAAATAGTCATGCTCCTACCTGATTGAGATTAAGATTGTTTTCAATACTGAGAGGAATCAGATGAGGCAATACTCTTCCTGCAAGCTGCTCTTTGGTAATTCCAAGCTTCTTATGAGTAAATGTACATTTGTAAATACCTGACATTAAAATAACAAAATTGATAAATTTAAAGTAGGTGAACACACTCCAAGCAAGTTTCACTTTCTATAGGTACAGACAATCTGACCATACATTTGTTCTGTGTGCAGCCAAGCACAAACAGGATGGAAAAGTCAGAAAAATGAGTCCTTGTTCACAACACAAATGTAACGCAAGGCTTTGCTAACCACTGAGAAGTCCTGGAGGCCCCAAATAACGCTTTGCTGTAATGAAGCCCTGAAGTCAATGGTTTGTTCTTGTCTATTATACAAGAATACAGGTCTTGGAGAAGATCATCACAAGCAACTGAGTTACCACAAATTGGCAAGCTAAGACCTCTCAGCCCTGCTCCCTCAGCGAGGCACTGCTCACCCTCAGCGGCTGCTCACCCTCTGCATCTGCCAAAGGCTCTTACCTGGAAGCTCAGGGTGTTAAGGCTGTGCTATACATAGGATCAGACACTGTGCATAGGCCTTATCTGTTTTAAAATCAGTATAAAAGGAATGAGGCACAGGGGATCCAAAGTTACATTTCCTAGTTTTACAGCATTTCTGACAGCCGGATTCCCATGTGCTTAAACAGTCACTTTTGGTGAATGCTGAACAGCACAACTTTCCTCACTCTCCATGCGACTATCAGAACAGAGCTGCCGGCTAACCAGAGAAGATTTCAAACACAACGTGCAATGTACTTTGGAAAAAAAAAAAAAAAAGAGGACCCAATGTAGCCAAACTGACTTCAGCTCATCATTTCCAAATTCCTACTCTCAGACATCAAGTACAGATTAAAGCTGCTGGCCTGAAGGGAACAAGGGCTACTTTAATTTAGTACAGGCAGATGCATTCTTGATGACTGAGGGTAATAAAGTGCTGCCATCACATACTTGTTACAGCACTCCAGTGAGGGTTGCTGCCTCTCCAGCTCAACAGCTACAAAGAGTCTCTGCCAACTGCTTTGCTTTAAGAGAGATGGTCACTGCCTCCCACACTTGATAACAGAGTCACAGCTCTCCTTGGTGGCGACTCTGGTCACCTGGTCTTCTTATGAGCCCATTCAAGTTAAAAGCATGTATTCTGAGTGGACAAATGCCAGAGTGGAAGCAGGGAAGCACAAGGGGTGAGGCCTTCCCTTCCAGAAGCAGCAAACCACCTGCCTCTGTTGGCTGTTCATAAATCTCACCCAGAGCATGCCCCACTACAGAGCGAAGGCAGCCTTGTCTTTGTGTTTAAAAGGCAAATAGGCAATGAAGAGCAATGGGTTCATAACAGATGATCATTCATAGCATCTGACATGCAAGGGTGGTAAGTGAAAGCAACAGTAGCATCTTAAAAGCTCTGGCAAAGGGTACAGTAACTGACAGGGGAGAGGCTTTAAGCTGCTCTGAGGGAAGTGACCTCTCTGGTTGGGTTGACCATGGAGACCACCAAAGTGTCACAGGCCAAGAACTGCAAAGAGCACTCAGAGCTGTGCTGGGCCCCCAGGGCTACAAATGTACGGACTAGCAACAGAAGTACCAGCAATACATTCAGTAACTGAACAGGGACCTACCTAAGAATGAGAAACAAGTCATTTTAGCTACACTGCGCAAAAAATATCAGTGATTACACGGACAGCTCCAAGACTACAACCTCAAAAGAGAAAAGGAAAAACTGAAAATACTAGTTACCTAAAATTCCCATTAGCACTGCAGGTTCCTTGGATGGAATTTGTTGTAGAAAAGGTAGAATATCATCAAGCACAAACCATTTATCCAAGTACTCCAAAATCTTTCCTAGGCACACTAGTGAGTTTACTCGGACCTATGAAGAATTAAAGAACATCTTAACTATTCAATTGCCTAAAGAAAAAAGGCACATAACACTTAAGATGAGAAGCAAGGTACTTACAGAACTATAACCCTCATAGCTGAAAATTCAGGGCCAGTTTTAAATAAATAAACAAAATAAAAAAAAATAAAAGGAAAATATAGAGCTGTATACTGCTCACAAGACCTTGGCTTTTCTGCAGGACAAGCACTGTTAGCATACAATGTGCTGGAACATATATTTTTAGAGTAAACAATCTTGAAAAGAAATTGGGGCATGTTTATGTGGTTTTTATTTATTTATATTTTTCTGTAAAGAAGCAACAGCAGAAAAAAAAAGTAAGTGCAGGTAATTTTCAATTTTCTGAAGACTGAGAAAGAAATAAAATTATTAGGGTACTTACAGCAAGAGATGAAGTTTGCAAACATGCATTCTTAATTCTTGGAATCAATGAATTTTTCATTGATGGGTAATCTATTAGATTGGCAAATGTGGGAATTATGTTTAGGCAAAGTTCCTATAAAAAAAAAATCCATATACATTTAAAAAGAAATATGCATATTAACTACAGAATTAATACTAGTATAATTCAAGTTGAAAATCAATTACTCTTTCCATATATTCTTTTTAAGGAAGGACTCATCATATGCACTAAAAGGAGCTATCAGAGTCAGAAATCGCTACAATAAGAAAACATCATGATATGTAGATGGAATCTTGGCAAATGGGTCAAATGAACATAAATAAATATTATCAGTAACATTCTGCAGGAGAACAATCTAACACTGAAAGATAAAACAGTGTATCAATATTAAGTATACTTAAGCAGTAGAAGGAAAAAAAATACCCAGCTGTAGCCAAATCTCAAAAAATAGACAGCAATATTAACACAAATTTCAAGGAATACTTGAGTAACTCCTCCTGTAGAAAAATCTCAAGGAGTTCCTTAAAAACAAAAACTTCATGCACAATTGGAAAGACTTTGCAAGGCTCAAAGTTACATTTGATTATCCAAATTTTCTTTATGTAATTATTTATTTGTTTACCTCCCTTACACACTCCCGCTTATGGCTAACAAAAAACTAATTCCAGTTGAAGAATGACTTCCAAAAGCAAACCTTTCTTTTTTTCCTTGAAGAAAAAAGATTAGCTGGCCAGTTTTAAATAGAAGCTGAAAGTATGGCACCTGAATTTGAATTGAAGGTGCTTCCAAGGCTCTATAAACCATTGGTAGAACGCTGTTCTTTATTTCATCTGGTGGAGTTTTGGTTAGAAGCAAATCCATTTTTTGCAGGAAAATCAACAGGATCTATTAAAAAAAAGGACAGTTCAGGAGCCAAAAGATTTTAACTTCACCAACAAACATGTAAAGTTTATTGCACCGTATCATTAAAACTTCAGAAGTTTACTTGTAACTCAGTAAATGTGATCACTTACCATGTTGCTTGCCTGAAGGCATGGAAGACAAAAAACACTTTGACATATTATTGCGTTTTAGAAACAGCACATACAGATCAAACAAAGTATATATGTTTTAGAATAATCTTTTTGAAATAAGAAGTTGTAATGGGTTGGGGAAGCCTGGGGGGAGAGTCTTATTTCAACACTGAGAGTCTTATTTACAACACTGTCTTCTGTTAAAATCCACCCACAGAAAATCTTGATATACACATCATTATTAGAAAAGGCTAAATTCCTCAAAAACTATGGATCAAATGCTGTTTTCAAGGCAGTTGATCGCAAATCCACTTATAAAAGCTGGATTCCTTCTGTATTTGGAAACAAAATTTAGGCAAAGAACATCATTGTTATATGGACACAAAATAGCTTTATTCTATTTCACACAGAGGTAGTATATCACAACATGAAAAATCACAAGCAAAAAAAATTTCACATAAGGTTAAGTTCACATCAGGTTAAGAGGGATTTATCTGGCTTATGTTTATCTGCCTGAAATTAAGCTGCCACTTTAAATGAAATATCCAGGTTCAGTCTTCAATACGGAGAGCTGCACTGCCAAAGTTAATCTATCTCTCTGAGAGGGGTGAGACAACTTCCACAGATGTCACTGACATCTCCATTGAAATTTAGACTCCTTTTATAAAATCATGGTATAATCACATTCATAATCAAAAGCCAAATATTTCATTGGAAGGAAAGATTTTAAGCATAAAAACATGTAGCAAACAGAGCTTGTATGTTAAATAAGCTGCATTGGAATCTGGAAGAACAAAAATAAAAATAAGAGGGAAGGGAATCAATTTCTTTTAAGGGCTGGTTAATGCAGGGTATGCTGCTGCATTTTCATAGTTATGTAACCATCTACAGACATGAGTGTGTGTGTGCCCACACTCAGTCTCTAATTCATTCACTCATTCTGTGGACACTGACTCTAATGCAATACCCTGAAACCTGGCAAAATTAGGGCAAGATGGATCAGACCAGTTTTAAATTTAGATTTTGTGTTTTTTCTTGAGTAAGGAATTTTTATTTGTCCTAAATGTGTTCAAAACCTAAATTAACTACTATAACCCTATAATACTGTGACATGATAGTTTCTATGTTCGGTTAGCCAGAGAGTTTTGAGAGAGAAGACTTGATTTGTCTTTGCAAATTTGAAAAAACAAGAGATGAATAAAGTCTGTTATTCAACAACTAAAAGCTTTGCTAAAAATAAGCAGCAGCTGTTTGGATAGACCGCTGGTAAGCTAAACAGTACTGTATAATCATCTAGATTTCACAGAACAAGGCAGATGTTATCCACTACTCTGGCTGTCAATTCTTCTCAAATATGATAACATAAATCTGAATTGTTTTTATTATCTCTCACCATCTGTATCTTTAACAAGAACGTAATTTATGCTGCTTTGGTGCGCTCTTTTTTCTTTTCTATTCTAAGAAATTTTTATCTGTTTAAGAAAAAATTAAGATGACACAATAACAAAGACAACACTTATAAATACATAAGCAGTAGCAGCAGTGTACTGTAAACAATAATACTGATGATTTATTTCGTTTATTAACACAGAGCCCAATGCTTGTTAGGACACATTCTGGCATACTGAATTAGAATATGAATTCACAGTACCTCGCACGCTAACTCTTTATGAATAACCTAAGCATAAATTAAGGGACCATCTACATGGGGAAGTTATTGCAGAGCAAGTTGCTAATTAATTAAGTTGTTACAGTACATGAGTGACGTTATGCTAACTCCAAAAGCATGATGTGACGTGAAGTTAAATATTCCATTTTCTTAGTATAATCTGCCTTATACAAAGACATTATCAACATTGGATAACAATTTCTTTGTAATGAATTACAGCTGCCTCCTCCTGATATATTTGTTTCCTAACTCAACTATCAGGATGTTTTGGTGGACATACAGATTATGAATGTCAAGCACAAGGCTTGGGAGTGGGTTTGGAAGAAAAGTCAATGCACTGCCCTCAGCCTCCCCATTGCCCCACGGGTTACAAAGCTTTTGCCTTGCACAAAGGGAGTTTGTGCCTCTGATGCCACTGATCAGATCAGAAATTCTATCATATGGCACTCTTTTTTTTCTTTTTTCTCCCTGAATTAATCTGGCAATTAATTTGGAAACCTGCCCTGGACTAGTTAGGCAAATTTGCCATAATGAAAAGGCCATAAAAATAAAGTTGAACAAGGGGCGATTGCCTAAAGTGCATCAAAAATGTCAACATGAGAATTTAATATATAGTATCTGGAAAACTGACAGACTACATCATACTTTATGGTACAGAAACTTCTTTTTTTTATATAAGCTAACCCCAAATATATACTTCCCTCATTTCTTAAGAAATAAAAGAGCCTTTGGGCCCCCTAGGCTCTAGATGGCTTTGAGACAAAGGAATCTAAAGGCTTTTGGAATGAAGACTCTCTTATAGATCCACTATTAAAATAGCAAAACAGCGTCAGGTTTATCAGCTTTTCGTCAGCAAGCACCTTTTCACATTTTCTATGATAACATAAAACTCTGGTATACCAAAAATAGTATTAATTCTAATAATCTAATAGATCTGCAAATACAGATGTTCCCTCCTCCTCCCGTATACTGAGAGTTCTCCGCTGTGGTTTGCCAGACCACAGAAATAAAAACCGTTCTCGTTCACCGCAGTGTTTATCTTGCCCTTTAAGTTCTCTGCAGAAAAATAACAGCAGTCTGCAGTAAAAAATGGTAAGCCAGAGGGAATGCATAGCTGCCTTGCTGTCTGCCGAGGCACGGTGCCTAGCCTAGTGACAAAATCCTCAAGTATTGTCATACATATGGTGTTGGCAGAAGGATGAAAATGCTTTTCTCCTTCAGAGTAAAAATAGTGCCTCACTGCTTTTATAAATGTAAACAACAGAAAAAACAGGTATCCTATTGACACTACCACAGTACACTTGTCAAAATAAAATGAAAATTTTCCACAAATTTATCTAGCCTGCCAATAAACACTACTTTATTATCATGAATAAACAAGACACACTTAAGAGAATGTCAGAGTGAGAACTTTTCCACCTCAAAATCCCACTGTTAACAATCTGGAATTAAAAAAAAAAAAAATCACAGGTTTAGTTAGTGGTACAATATGTGCTAAAATTTGTTTTGTACAGTCTTGCTACGATAATCTAGATAAGTGACAAAAAGCTCACAACTGTACCTGCTACAACTGACCAAAGATAGAGTTGAGTGATAAATTGTATGTTTCCTTTTTTTAATCTATTCTCATTTATAAATCTAATTAAAGCTCCACAAGAACAAAAACAAAACAAAACAAGAACAACAAAAAGGTAAAATAGCAGCGTTAAGTGAAACTGCTGGAAAAAACTGCTTTGCACGAGTAATTAAGGCCCACTGCTTGGACAACTATAAAACAAGTTGATTTGATGGTGGACAATGTGACAGTTCGATAAAGGGAATGAAACCAATCAATGTTTTTTCAGATAAAAAGCACTGAGGATAAAAATTGTCATGTGAACAACATAAACGTACCTGTATTGGTTCTTGCTGCTTAAAAACAGGACCAAGATCAGGCAGAATAAGCCTGATATATTCTTCTTTGGTGCACTCTTCAGCAATAAGGAGAACGTTAGGCAAGACAAAGGGTACCATATCAGGGTTCACAAACTCAGAGGTCAAGCAAGGCAAAATGCGCTGAATTATAACACGCTAAGAGACAAAAACAAGAATTTATCATGTTGCATCGTGCTGCATTAAGTTATTATCATCTCAATTCAACAGCTTTAGTGATAGCCTGATACAGAAACACAAAAGCCAACAATTTCCAATACGGAGTTCTTATTTTCACAGTATACTCAAGTCAATACACACTATGCTGCTTTGCTTATTTTATTTGCATTCAAGACACAACTGATACAGCAATCATGCAGGCCAGTAAGAGCTATTAACTGTGCAGAAAATAAAATTTTAACTCATATATATGAATTAAAAACTCTCATTGCATACATTTATTTTAAAAACAACCTAAAAACATTTACCACCAGAAAGACAAGTTTTGAGGTATCCTCTCACTCACTAAATGTGCATGTAATCCTACTATACCTCACTGTAAACTCCTTACAAATTCCCCAGATGGGATTCAGCTGACTAAATGCATATATATACACATATACATACTATGGATGTCTACATCCAAGTTAAGCAACCTGAAAGGCTTGTAAAGACATTGAAGAGAAATACACACCTCCAAGGCACAGTCCATTTCCTCATAAGAAATCTTTTAAAACAAAACAAAAATCCAATACCCTAAAGATTATTAAGTCAGTTTATGACTGACTAAGGTGGAATAAATCCCATCTACTCCCAATGCCAAAGCATCAACAATTTTTGATCAAGAGAAAAAAACTCCAAAATGAAAAAGGAGACTATAATAAAAGTGTGCTTCAATACTGTACAGTTCAAAATAAAATTTACATAAAAATAAATAAAATTAATGTAATGATTCAGAAATCTATAGCTATTCTATCATAAAGTAAATGACCACTATTTTTCCATCCCATGTGCGTTATGTCTTATATAAATTAGAGAATACGACAAAAGGGAAAAAAATATTGACCTGCATCATGCCTACCACTGCACAAAAGAAATCTTGAAAACAGACATTTCCCTTTGAGGTGTCTGGGCACTGCTAGCAGGAAAAAAGTGCTTTATCCATTGAGGGAAGGCAACTTTGCATCACTCAACATTAAAATACTGCCTGGCTATAAAAAGAGTTGAGGCAATCTTACATATAGATTCAGAGAAAAGGCTGGACAGGATGACTTCAAAAAGCTCTGAGCTATAAATAAAGAGGGAAAACTTGTAGGTGGGGAGAAGATTTTTCCCAAAGTGGGATGAACTGTAAGAGAACATGGCAAATGATGGTTCCTCTCATATACTGATAACACAAGATGCCACTTTCTGCTTCCAGAATTACTGATTGCTGAGGGGTATTTCCACGTAAATTATTTTCATATTTCCTCTTCCTATTCCTCTACTCTGACAGTCTCAGTCAGAGTATGGCAGTTTTGTATGGAACCATGATACACACAATCCAGCAGTCCCAAATTAAGATTATTAAAAGATGTTGCTGTATTTTTAACTCATGATTTCCACACGACAGTAGAGACATACCTTAGGTAGTTTTGGCAGAACCTTTGGTAACCCTTTAAAAAACTGTGACTTCTGAAGGTTATCCCTTTGAAATAAAGAGTCAAAATACTGAAGTGTCATTGCTCCCACATCATCGAAGAACGGTATCTAAAAATAAGATTAAACGCATATAATTTGGAGGAAGACAATGCTAATGTTGATACAAAGACTCCACATCTGTAATAATATATATGTACCTTTACAATGCACTATAGGAAATCTATACAGTGAAGCGGATGCAAGTAAGAACCATAAAAGTAGATTTTTACCTACTAAGCAGTATAACACACACAGATAAAGATTGATTATTAAGACAGCTCATTTTCCTGGCATTTTAAAGAAGTAAACAGTAACACACATTATGTTCTTCTGTGTTAATTTATTCTATATGAAATAATGTTTTCATCCACAAAAAGAATTAAAAGCAGAAATCTTGATTAAAAGTTCTCCTAAGAATAATTACACTATTTAGTATTATATGGATATAGATATATATAAAAAAGGATTTCCTGCTAGTATGTCCATATCTGGTTACTATTTTTGGAAGCTTATAATGAATCAATAACCATTTATATGCAAAAAAATGGGTCACTATACAAATTCCTCTCCAATGTGCATGTTTGCAGGCTCACTTTTATATATCATATTCTACATCTTTTCCCCGTGTTTGCATTACTTCACCTGCATTGCCAGCTGGCAACAAAGACAGGGTTTCTTCAGTATTGTGTAACAATGTATACACAGGCTGGATTTATAAACATGCCAGGAATAAACCACCAGAGGTTCATCAACAGCAGTGGTGTATCACAGCAGTAGTGCTGCAGCTGCTTCGACATTGATGAAGGTTGCTAAATATGTATGTTGATGCCAAGACTATTTCGAATTCCTCGCATACGCAGCTTTCAGTTAGCAGCTGAATCTCGGACCTGTGCAGACTGGAATGAAAAGTTTGAAAAGTTCCACAAGGGTAAGATCCCTCCTTCATTCCCACTCTGCATTTCAGGCAGGGATACAGCAAATCTCATGGGTTTGTCATGGATAGAGACAGAGCATGGTCTCAGACCATGTCTGAACTGTTTTCAGTTGAAAAACTGGTGCAAAGAGCAAGGCTATAAAAACATAACGCAGCTGTGCTGCGAGGCAGAGAGGTGAGCTGGTGAAGGGCAATACAGAATATAAGCTACCAACAGAGAATTCAAGCTACTCAGTTCTCTTCTATGTGAACTTAATTCTGTATTCTAGTTCATATACCAAAAAGGAGTCTAACCACGACAGCATGGAATTGGACACGGCCTAATTCACCTTACTTAAAACTAGCAAGGTAAATTTGCCTGCGTTAAGCTCCGTTTTAGCTTATGGCATGCTGGCCTGGACAGACTGCTTTTAGCACCCAAGCTAGTTCAAATACCTCTACCATACAAATGAGTCTAAAGAGATAAACATGATCTTTATGTAATAAGAGTGCTTAATAGACATCTCTTTTCACATTTGTTGTAGTCTCTCAAACAAGTGAGCTGATATCTGAGTAATATTTGCCGATTTTCCTACTTTCCCTCTTCCAGAATAAGTTGCAAAACGTTACTTGTACTCCCTCCTTTCTTCATACTCCCTCCTTTCTTCACTCTCCATTTCTTCCAACTGCTAAGAGATTGATTTTTCTCTTTGTACATAAACTTTTTATATGACAGAAAAATAAGAAAACTCTTACCTAAGCAAATCTATAAGCAAGAACCTGAAATATTATCAGCTATAAGAAAACAAGATACAAGGCAAAAGAAGCATCATGCTTTTAAGATCTACTTTCAAACAGGAAGGAGGACGAAGAGTTAGTCATTTTAAAACTTAAATTGACTATTTGCAATTAATTTTTGTTTCATTATGGCATGTATGCTCCAAATATATTTTCAATTATTCTTCTATACATTTAAGAATGTACCATAAACAATAAGCCAAAAGTTAATCTTTACATTTGTTGACCTTTGATATTTTATGGCTATAATTTCCTTCTAACAGAGGTTTAAAAATTGAATTGTATAAGAATATACTCCAGAAAATACTGCGACTGTAGTGGAAAGCAAAAAAATACTCTTGAAGTGACCGCTCAAAGTTCTACTTCAGCATCCTTCTTTCATATTAATAGAAAAAGGTCAACATAAAGACAACTTTGGACATCAGCTAACATCATTATTTCAAGTCCAAAACATATTTGCATTTCCAGTAAAAAGATTAAAAGGAAAAAATAGCTCTATTATTTCCACAAATCAAACACTACTTCTCTCTTTTCTGCATGTGCCTTATTTTCCATGAACTGACCTTAGTCATTTGATCTGCGTCGGGTCTTACTGCGGGAGCAACATTTAAGAGCAGCTTTACGTGTTCCCGCACCTCTTCTGGTATATTCTGAAGAGTGCTGCAGCTTAAACGGCTCAGCTGCGTAAGGAATTAAGCACATGCAACATGAAGTCAGAAAATCCTGCACAGAACTTTTTTCCAATATACATCAGTGCTATACTTGATGGCTTCCCTACTCAAACCGTTAATATCCCTCCCTTCTCCCCACTGATTCTGATCCCTCATAGCCTTCCCTCTGTCCCCAGGCAGAATATCTGCTTCTGGTCACATTCCCCTACTTCCAGCTTCTCACTGTTCTAACTGTTTGCAGGTTTTTGGAGAATACAGGAAACTATCTTTTCAAAGAGGTGCAAGTTATAACTGAGGTGTCAGTTATACAAATGAAAACGCAGTACTCGTGAGTAAGGCAATGGACACCCTAGGAAGCCACAAAGAAGGAAACTTGCACACAAATGTACACTACATCTGCTGTTCCAAGCAACTCTCTTCTGTTAATATTCACAGTCCACAAATAACATGAAACAACTTACTGTCAGCTAAGGGAATAACATCCACAGTGTCAAGTGACTGAATCACTTGAATCCCTGCAATCTCCTCCAATCTTACACTGATCATTTACTGATCACTGCCTTGTGTCTGATGCTGTTTGCCCTGCTCACACGTGCCCATCATTACTAAGGTGTACAAGGAAACTAGGTGAGAAATCAACTTTGTAGTTGATAAATTTGGTACACATAATGTCCTCTCTATATATGCATACATCTATATATTCTTATTTCCCTTATTTTACTAGCATTTATCTTTTCTTATTATGAAGATAGCATGGATGGTAAGCTATCATTATAGGACTGTTTACACTGGAGCACTGACACTATGCTCTAAAAACTTAAATATATTTTAAACCAGCTACTTTTTAAATATGAAAAATCAATGCAGAACATTTATGAACAGAGGATATACCTGATCCAGTTGCCTGCTAAAACTTTTATAAATATCCTGCTTGTTGACCTCAAAAATTGGCTTCCCTTTATTAAATACTGCATACATAACAGCTCCTAGGGAATACATATCGCTGGCTGTCTCGCAGCTCACAGAGAGAATATATTCAGGTGCCAGATATTCAGGATTTGGAAGACACAAGGACGGCAAGTTTGGATCCCATTCCTTACAAGGGAACTTTGGCTACAAAGAGAACAGTAAAACGAAGTATAGTGATTAGGGATTCTTAAAGAACAATTCAAGTAAGAGACTCAAGCAGCAAAAGATAATCAATCCACACAAACTCAACTATGACTAAAACGGAAATGGAATAAGGCAAAACTGATAAGCATGTCTATCTGTAACACAGATTAATTAGCTCATGCTGTTAAACCTGGTTATAAAATGTCAAAATACTCTGCTGTAAGAGGGAAATACAAGTTATGATAGGCATTCATTTAGCAGTTAGCAACCAGGCACTGAGGGGTTGGAACAACCTGAGCATGTCTGCCAACAGATAAACTGGCCCAGGCTTCTGCATCTGCCTGACATTATTACTAGTTTAAGTCTACTGAGCCAGCCCTGGCTCTTTTTTTGTAATGACCAAAAGTACCATACCAGTCCAGGTATATGCTATATACTTATCCTTTCTGCCACAAAATTGCAGATTAAATAACTTGAAAGTGAAGCTCGTGAAACCAGTTTCAGACATGGATCTGAGCTTGAAATTTCAAGAAGACAAATATAAAGATCTATTACCTCCTGTTCAGATGGATTTGTTGACTGGATACAAAAATCAAAGCCCATAATTTTCCACGCTCCACTCTTGTTCAAAATTATATTCTCAGGCGTAATATTCCCATGGACCATTTTCACACTGCTATGCAAAAAGGACAGGCCTTCAGAAACCTGTTAATTAAAAAATACATATACATATTCTTTCAGATTAATTCTAAGCAATTCTTCATTGTCAATTTTAGACTATGTCTTAATAATTTTGTATGAAGGGTGGGTAATCAGCAGGTAGTCCTAGACTGCAGGGTAAAGTACAAAAATGACTCACAAATGGAAGTGACAGTAGCTGTAGCATAGGCCACACACTGTTTGTTTTCACCTGAAGGGTAAATCAAAAAAAAAAGGTTGGTCTGGTCTTTTCAAAAAATGAAGTAGTGACTAAGGAAAGGAAGAGAGAGACCTCTGCATCACTGCATATTTACAAGCAAGGAGGAAGGCAACAAGAAGGCCTTCCAATTATATCGAAGAGCAGTGGAAACTAGAAAGTAAAGATAGGGAAATAAGGCCTACGTTTGTGCAGGATTAAACTATGTAATTATAAAAAAATCATTAAACTATGATTAATACTAAAAGCACATGAAACTTAAAGTACGACTGCGCAATACCTGAAGCAAGCCATATTTGGTCTCCACATCATAAAGTTTGTATTCTTTAATTTCAGATGGTAAAGGAGAAGGTAGGTTGTCCCAGCTGCCAAGAACATTAGCTAAACTGGCACAGACAGGTTCTGTACAAAATGCCAGGCAATCTCTATAGAGGAGACAAACAAAAACCATTTGCTTTACAAAACATCAGTCTTGGGCTGAACCAACAATATCAAACAAATAATTCTATCATTATAACTTGTAGGATCAGGCTTTTAGCTGTGGTTAAAGGTGAATCAGCTTTTACTGTGGTTAGACTGTAACCAGAAACAAAACTAATAAAAGCCAAGTTAGTATGAATACGTGTAGTCCTTTATTTTGAAAATGAAAGTACAACAAGAAGCACATTAACAAATATAGCTGTTGTATGAACTGTAATTTGCCTATGGAAGCAACATTTTTTTTCTCTTCCTCAAAAAATCACAGGTTTAGTTAAATGGCTTTTTGTATCAACAATGTTTGAAAAGTGTAAGTAAAACAATCCTGGAAACATACAAATGACTGGTTCTACAGGAAAGAAAAGGAAAAAAATAAAATAATAAAAAATAAAAGAAAGAGAGCGAGAGAGAGAGAGAGCGAGAGGAGAGAAGAAAAAGAGAGCGAGAAGAGGGGAGAGAGAGAGAAAAGAGAGAGAGAAAGAGAGAAAGAGAAAGAGAGAAAGAAGAGAGAAAAGAAAAAAGAAAAAGAAAGCCTTCAAAATTTCAAGCCCTGAAAACACTGCATGTCTCAGTGTTGCCAATTCCAGGTAGCACAGACAGCGCCGTTCCATGTATCAACATCCTTCAAACTGGCCTGCACAGCACGGAAGGCCCTGCTGTCCCTGCACGTCACATCTGAGATGTTCCAGAGTTTTCTTTGAAGACAGCAATGGTGTTAGTACCCACAGCTGGTTTAGGAATGTTTATCTCATATGTGAACACTGAAACATTTCCCCAGAAACAACACAGAAAACTGAGACCTAATAACAGCAATACAGATATATTTCTCAATTATGAAGTTATAGGCAAGAAGACAGGAGCCTGACTTTTCACTTATTCCTTAAAAATACCACAGAGGACATCACATCTCAGCAAAAATCTACCACTTAGTTTTTACATATCTCATTAATTAACAAGCTTGGGTTTTGAAGTGAAAAAAAAAAAAAAAGCTGATGAAACATGTAAGCTTCTTATTACTCATCCAGATTAAGGGAGACAACTTTAATTTTATCTTCATCATTTATCGCTTTAACTTTCTGAAGGAAAACCAACTGAAATTAAAATCTATTGATTCATAAATGTCAGCCAATCTAGGGAATTTCTACTACTTGGCTTTCTCCCTTCCCATTGTGCTGACTCCACCACTTTGATCTTTTTTATTAATAAACCTATGTTTACAAAATTTATTTCTATACTAATCATGAGGAAGAATCAGACTTCAAAATGCAAACTAGGTGATTGTGGTTGTTTTGGGGTATGAAAGAGAGCTTGTTTTTTACTTTGGGAGCTTATTCAATCAAGACCCACGCTACAGTTGCAGAAGGACAGGGCAAATCCAATTAAAGCAAATTAATATTGGAAGAACTGAGTCAGTCATATGCTGTAGCAGCTTAAGCAGTTCCCTGAATAACATCAAAATGACAGTCACCGTAATGTAATAAAAAGAAAACAAGTAAAAAAGAAAGATGATGGCAAAAAAAAAATGCATATGCTTTGGAAAAACTGTAACAGATGGACTGTGTAGTAAATTAAATATTTGGGACTCTTCACACTACTCCTTTTTTAGTAAGTACCAATGGCATTATGAATAGAGTCATAATTTGGCTTTTTATTCTTTTCTTCAAAAACAAGTTAAATATAGAATAATATTACTCATTTGTGCTGTTAAAGGATTTGAAGATAAGCTGTACATATAGACATATTTATAGTAAATATTTAGTACAAAGTGTTGAAATATTTAATATATTTATTGCATGTAAAATTAATGCAAAGTAATATGCATAAATATATAGAATGTTTATATAAATCACATTTAACATATTTTGAGTAGAAATTTTCTGCCAATAGCGGAAAAGCTGTCTACACATTGGAGTCCTGTACTGTATGGCCTGTAATATCTACTGCAGCTGTGCAGGCACACCAAGTATTCCCTTGCCCCACAAAAGGGGAATAAATTGTTAAATTGTTTCTCCAGCACACTGCAGAATGAAAAGTTTGGAAGATTACAAATTAGAAGAGAAAGAAAAAAAAATGTGGTGGAATATATAAAGATGAAACCACAAAGTTCATCTATCACAGGGGTCAGCACTTTTCATTCTCCAGTGCAAATTGGTGAAAGTTGGTTGCCCAACCACCTGGATATTTATCCTGTTTTTAGTGGCTTGCAAGCATCTAACACCATCATATGTCACTTTGGAGACACATATGGGAAAAAAAAAATGAAAATGCTTCTCCAAAAGAAGCATTTTGTAAAGCCCCTCAGAAATGCTAAAGCAATGCAGCTGTCTTACAATCCTCTTGCACAGTGATGTGCACAGTCTGAGCAAACCCTTCTATTATGCACTCCCCAAATATCACTACAGTAACTTCCGGCACACAAGCCACTGGATAGGCTTGGGGCTATTTAGCCTTTAATAGCTAGTTATTGTTGTAGAGCACTGAAAATTGTTTTCAATTACCTAATTTATCTGCTTTAGAGTTTTGTGAAGGGTACACAGAACCAGAGGGCTAATGACAACTTTGAATCCTTGTTACAATAAAATTTGTTTAGAACTGGAGAAGAGATATATCTGAATAAACAAGTGTCATTTGATGAAAAAAATCTTTCTCAAAGTAGACACAGCAAAGACAGATTTAGTCCCCAGGTACCCCTGGCTCCTACAAACTGAGGAAAAACTACCTTAGGTACATTTGGAAACATATGTATTGACAGAACCTATCAAAAATGTAGAATTTCGAAAGGCAATGTATGAAAAGATTTATTAGGTCACCTTTCAGAAACACCACTTTGCTGGCAGAACCTGAAGATTTTAACAAGCTTCCTCAATCAAATCAAGAAATATTTATTTCAACACGAGACACTTGCTTGTCTGATTTTAGTGTGTTGTACTATCATTGCCAGAGCTCAATAATAAATCTATAAGATTAATCCATTATTGTGCTTAGTGACTGATCTTACATGAAATCAAATAAGCACTACAAAAATACACTACCTTTTGTCTCCCTTGCCCAAAGGCATTTGAGGACTTTTACAACACATTATGTGGCCACAATAGATACAGAGAAATTAACTGAATACCAAATTTTCATACTGTAAGAAATATGCGTAGTCTTGTAGTTGCACCTGGCCTAAAACTATGCAATAAATTATGGATTTGATCCACACCAAGAACACATTGTATCACTTCTATTCTTATGTGAGTAAATACAGAATAAATGAACCTCATTAGATATATGTGCTAAATGCTCCAGATATTTAGAACCATTAACAAAACAATGATTGAGAATGTTCTGTTCATAATTTCAGTACCACTTACCTGGATTCTTCTAATGGATGTTGAACAGTGAGCAGCCGAGGGTGTCGAAGCCTGGTGAGCTGTTGAACACCTCGTTTTAAAGAATCAATAATCTGATCCTTTTCATATTTTTGAAACTTGTCTATTAACTTTTTATCAAAGACAAATACAGCCACTTCCTAGAAACAAGCAACAAAATTTACTCAGTATAGCTATGCCAAAAAAGCAAAGCCTACACACAGTCACATACGCATCCAGAGCACAGACCCACTAATTTATTTCAGTGTACAGTTACATACACGTTCTCACAGTCATAATCCTCCAGGCTGCAATTAACCTCCACATTATATATTTTAAGAGTTAATGTACTACTGCCCTTACCTTACAAGCAATAATGCATGAATGCTGTCTATGCGGCGACAAGGCAGAACATCCACAGGAAAAAAATTTGCTTGCTTTTAGGGAAATGAGTGCATTTATATTAACTATGAACAATTAAAATATTCTGAGGATATATGTATTCATTTAGCGTTACATACATATATTATGTATATGGTGCTCTATTAAGCCACATCCTTAGTCTTCTGTTCCAAGGTTGTATGATCTGTACTAAACTACACTTTCTTGAGAGATAACTTATAGTCAAACAACAATATCTGACTAATTAATTAATATGATCAAACTGTTCCCATGATAAAAATTTTTTTTGGACACATGATTGAACATGTGTTAAAAGACATTCTGGAGGAAACAGTATTTCCAATCAACCTCTGCAAATTGTGTGGGAAGAAACTAAGGAAGTCATATGAAATTTAGACATTATAGATGTAGATATGAAATAAACAACGAGATTACAGTAACATCTTGGAAGCCATTAAAGAGAGAGAATTCAAGTTGTTTCAAGGGAGGACATAAAAAACAAACTAGTGAAGGAGCTGATACTCCTGGAAATTAACCACCTTCTATCTCTGAAAGGAAAAAGAAATTTAAAACTCTATCATGAAACAAAACTGAGACTTTCTTGTATGTTTACCAGATTATGAATAACAATAAATAAAAATGTTGAAAACTAGTAGACCATAATCTGGCAGTGCAAAGTTTTCAGTCCCAAGAGGAAATCTATGCTCTTGTATAGCACATTTTATACCTTTTATTCTAACTAAAATCTCCCGGGAATATTATTGATTATTATTTACATTATTAATTTCAAGAAAAGCTACACATAGGCTACAGAAAAAAGGAATTCACTTTGATACACAGAAATTGATTTATGTTTTTCAGCAGGTATCTGACTGGTTCATTATAGTGTCAGCAAGTGAACACCTAAAATTCAGTCAACCCACTCTACTACTTCTGCTTGTATACAAATCAGCTCTCTGTCCTGGCTTGAAGGGTGATGGAGGAAACATTAACAATCACACAAAGCAAACTCACAGGGGGTGGCAAATACATGTTTACCAATTACTTAAAAAATACACACTTTCCAGTACAAAGTATGAATATATTGAGCAATAAGTGACCAACAACAAAATCTCAAACTTATATAACACTTCTGAAAGCATTTGTGTTTAATGATAAGTCAAAAGTAGCAGAATGTGAATTAAATTAAAACAGATATTTGGGTACATTAGCCACATTTGTAATATCTTATGACAGCTATAAATAAGCTCTATGAGAGCTTGTTACAATCCTGCATGGTTGTTTGAAGTTTGACAGAATTTCTACATCTCCAGATTTATCTGTATATGAAGTTTATACAAGTATTTGAGGTGTGAAGATGATTGCTGTCACATTGATTTTACAGGGACAAATACAATTTACAATATAATTGTAAATTATAAATTTCAAGAATCAAAATTAATTAGAACTGTGTGACAACTTGCTCTCAATATTCTAATTTTCACATAACGCTTCTGATGCAAGAAAAAAGCAGAGTCCTCACAATCTCTGTTTGTTTAACACTAATGTGTTAAATGTGCTCTTATATTAATAACTCAAATATGGCATTCTGAAATGGGCTATTAAATTCCATAACCAACATTGATTTTTATATGCAGAATTTGACATCAACAATATAATATTTTAAATCCCGTAAGTCTCCAGAAATTTTGGTATAGAAGAACCAAGAGCTAGCTGTGTGTGTTTTCTGTTTGACACACACAGCTAGCTCTTGGGGGCCTAAAACACACCTTCTCTGTTGCACAGTAATTACTAAAACCATAAAACACCTGGAACATTAAAAGGCCTTTAGGGTTTTCTGCTGCATGGACCAAATAACCCTGCCAAATTTTGTTTACAAACACAATATTCTTGTTTTTCTTTTTCTGTTTTGCACAACCTGATATTAAAAACCAAAGAGAAGGACTGCTGACTCTAGCTTATAGGGATTCCATCTGCTGGTGATGTAATCACATTTGTGGAAACCAACTGAGATGAAGGCCTGCAAAGATTTACACAAAGTTAACAGAAAGTTTTAGAGGAGCTTCCACTTTGCATTTTTCATTTCATAGGTTTGAAAGGTTAGGAGGGTGAAGGGAGAGTTCCTCCTGCGGACAACTATTTGTTATTTAAATACTTGTCTCATAATTCCATCTTTGTAATATAAAAATAAAATTAGCATACAAGAGATTAAAATGTAGCAAACTACAACTGCTCTCAGCTAAGAAAATGAAAAAATGGGAGCTATTATCTTTAAAGATAAACATTTCCACTCATTATGTGATAGGAAGCAAACACACACCTTGCTCAATGTGCTCTTGTTTCAACACAGAATATCGGTAGCTCTACTACCAAAACTAGGTTGAGAAGTAGGGACAAGTGTCTAGGGCCCTAGACTGGCCAGTCAGGGGATCTAAATTTCATCCTCAGTTGTGTTACAAACACAGTCTAATCCACACCTTGTGCCTCACCTCTGCTATGTTTAATTCAGTAGGCCTTTACTTCAAAAAGATGTCAGAAAGATAAAGCTCTGTTGTGACTATGAGAG